TTTATATATATTATTTGTACATCCTGTTCTAAGAAAAGGTTTCAATCACTTGTTTTCAGCCAAAAAGAAGTACCGGTATACCTCAAGTTCATGTCATTAAGCGTATTTAAGCATAGTGAAGTATGTTTTTCCAAGTGTGGTTTTGTTTACTGTATTTTGTAGTATAAGGTAACAAACTTTGTTAAGTATACCTCTAATAAATACATAAAAAGTAAAGTGAAAGTATACTCTCTTATTTTTAGTTAATACATTTAAAGACACTTGCATAAACTGCACAGAAACAGTGTTTACAGGCACTGTAAGGAGCTCTTGGAACATTTTTAGTTGTGTAGTTGTGAGCTGATTTCTCATCTTCGATCGTAATCATCTTAACCATGAGGCAAGGCTTTACATGGAGGTCTTGACCAAAAGTAACAGACGGTCGTTTTATATTTCTCCCATTTACAAATAATCACAGCAACAAGCTTTTTTGGTGATGGTAAGAGAGCCCCTTGGAGCCTTTTGTAGATCTGTTTTTATACCAGGCATCACTTGACAGCTCAGTCCCATAGTGGTGGCACACCTACTCTCTGGGTTGCATTGTTTAATGGGAATGTTGCCTATAGGCTCTGACAAATGTTATGATGGTTAATGGCAGTTCAGCAGAAGCTAGATTGAAACCCTCCTTAGTGTGAGGGTCTCATTGTATCACTGTACTGAATCACCTGTTTGTGTCTGTCAGTGTAAATGGCTGGAGGAGCACATGGAAAACAGCGAGTTTTACAAAGAATATGAGAGCATCCCAATGTGTCGTCGGGGAAGCGAGTGCACCGTCATTGGTTATACGAAATACGTGGACAAAAACCGCTTCCAAGACGTCGTGCCTTATGACGACACCAGAGTGAAGCTGGTCCCCACCGAGGAGAACAGCATGGGCTACATCAATGCGTCGCACATTAGAGTAAGTTCAAAAAGAAAAAACAAATAAGTGGGTTCTTCTTTAGTGAAACGTTTCATCTCTCCTCCAAGAGACTTCAGTCTGAGGCGTTTCAGGTGAACTCAGCCTTATAAGCACTGCCTCCACATGGACAAACAGGTTAGTCACATGCAAGAGGGCCATCGCCTAACAATAGGCTTGATTAGCTCTATTGTTCATAGAGGGTCATGTGCCCCATCACCTGACTCATTGGTTTGGATGCTTCAGCTGTGGTTATTTGGTGTTTTGTTATGTGTATGTAGTGAGTGAAAATGAGTTTCAACGTCCCCTTGTTTTTGTCTCTCTTTCCCAATTTGTGTTGGGTATCGTTGGGTTAGAGTAAGTTGCACAGACATGTTTACAGTAGGGGTGCACCAATTGCACTTTTCTGGCTGATCATTACCAACCAGCTGATTACGATTTTGGCCAATATCGATTTTTTTAAATAACTGACTCTGTCTGGTCACAGTACACCTTCAATGTGCTCATATTACTTTATTGAAAAACATTGAACAATACCTTTAAAACAATACAAACTTGTTTGAATTAGACATTAAGTAGTGTTCACAGCAGAGCAACAGGGGACAGTGTCTGATTTTCAGACCTTCATGGCAGTAAATGAGAAGCCGATCTTTTCCACTATATTGGCCGATCTCTGATGTCCCAAAATTAAGAAAATCTCTGCCCATAAATGGGCCGAGACGATTTATTGGTGCAACCCCAGTTTACAGCAATGGTTTTCCAAAGGTTTCAGTTCCTTCTCAAGACCCAACTTTAAGAACCACTGGTTTACAGCATCAGTCTCCTGTCATTAGGTGAAAGTAGGCGAACAAGAGTGGCATTACATCGCAACACAGGGTCCCCTGTCACACACATGTCAAGACTTCTGGCAGATGGTGTGGGAGCAGGGTGTTTCTATTATTGCCATGGTGACTGCTGAACAGGTGAGTTCATTTTATCGGTTCAAAGCTTTATATTAAATAGCTCACTCCCCAACTGGCCTTTCTACGTCGTCCGTTCTCGTAGGAAAATGGTCGAGAGAAGAGCTTTCGATACTGGCCCCGACTTGGCTCACAAGACAACACTGTGACTTTTGGGCAATTTAAGATCAGCACACAGAAACACATTCAGTCCGGCTGCTACGCCAAGACAGTGCTTACAGTACAACACCTCCTGACTGGAGAGAAGAGGACTGCCTGTCACCTGCAGTACACAGACTGGCCTACCTATAGCTGTCCTGAGGACCTCAAAGGCTTCCTCGGTATCGGTTTACATTGACATGGGCTTGGTGTAATCGAAAATTGTACTATTTGTGCAATTTATTCTCAGCTCTGTTTACCCTCCAGCATACCTGGAGGAGATCCAGTCAACAAGGAGACACACAAACTCACACAACAAACCCGTGGTGGTCCACTGCAGTGCCGGAGTGGGTCGGTCTGGAGTCGTCATCCTGTCTAAAATCATGATAGCTTGTCTGGAGCACGACGAGGTGCCTACATTTATAAAAAATAAAAAAAAGATTTTGTTTTTAAAAAGCTAAATCTTGCATTGGCTGTGCATTTATCCAAACAGGTATGAATATTTATGGTCTGTTTTTCAGCTGTTAGACGTCCCAAAGTTCCTGAGGATGCTTCGTGATCAGAGGATGATGATGGTTCAAACGCTGTCTCAGTATACCTTCGTCTACAAAGTCCTCATCGAGTACCACCGCAATTCCAACGTGGAATTAAAATGACACTGAGCTAAAGCATGAAATGCTACTGATTATAAATGTCAAAAAATTGCCATGGAGATGTCTGATTATTGCATCAAGCTATAGAGTCACCTGGTGCTCTCTAATCTGATGTTTATCAGTTTAATACAACATGAAGAGAAATTTTATACTAACATACAGACTTTTATTGTTAAAATCAGATGCAGGAGGGTCTCATGATATACACTCCTCATGTGTGGTAAAGCTTCTAAAAAGTAAATGAAATTTAAAATACAAAGTTTAAATTACTATGCTTCACAGTAAAAAGATGCACCGAAGGATCAAACTATGGCTAAAGTTTGATCCGTACTTGAGATTTAGTGTTGACGTCCAACCTTTATACTCTATCCTCAGTTTTGTTTTGCTTTTTTTCTTCCTTTTAACAAATAAATACTTTCAGTTATAAGCAGTAATAATTTTGAATTGTTTATCTGCACTGGCCAGTTTATTTTTGACTTCTTCCTAATTATCTTTTACTATAAACTAAGAATAAAAAATGTATAAAACACAGTCTTACATACCAAATAAAATGAATTAAAGGCAACTTTTATGAAATCCTGTAAAAGGTAAAGTCTTCCCCTGCAGGTTGCCAGTTCTTTCCCTTCAGATAAACACTGAGGTAACATTAAACTCATACTGTTGACGTTCTGTATACCGATGAATGAAAGTTCAGACGCTAATCCTAGTATCGTCTCTTCTTCCCTCCGTGTCCTCCGTAATCTCCGTGTCGACTGTGTCCTCCTTGGTTCCAGCCTCCTCCTTTCCAACCTCCCCCAACGCCTCGCCCACCTTGACCCCAGCCACCTCCTCCTCCACGGCCTCCCCAACCGCCTCTTCCTCCGCCGTCTTGTCTTTTCTGCCAGGGTGGCATCTCAGGAGGCGGGGCTTCAATTTCAGCAGGACGTCCTCCTCGGTCTGGTACATTTCCCATGAGGACCTGTGGAGACAAAAACATTTATGAGGGGAACGATACGATAAAAAGCTTTAAAAAAATGGCAACATGCTGTATTGTACCTTGTTCACAGCACATGCAGTYTTCTCCCTGCTGGAGCCGCTGCTGGTCTTCACTACGTTACAGACGTCCTCTCTGGCAGCCAGCAGCTCGGCCATGTCCACCGTGGACTGCGGCCTCAGAGAGTGTCGCTTCGGCTGGTAGGCTCTTGCCATACTGTCCACCTTCACCTGAAAGCCCCCCAAAATAATTCTGTTACGTGCAAATCATTTTTTCCCTCTTTCTTTTACCAAAGAAAAGATGTGAACCTGCCTTGGCTCTGTCTGACCAGCCAAATGACTGAACGGTGACGTCCAGCCGTTTGATCAGCATCCTGCGGCGGCACTCGTACTCTGATGACAGAACTTTGTTAATGCTCTGCAACCTTTCCTGCAGAGAGACAAGCAGTGACTTCAGTAAAGAAAAGAAAAAAAAAACTCAAGTATGTAGATGTAAAATACTAAGATATATTCCTCTACACACCCACTGTTCACTGCTGAGAGGTTTATTCAACACAGGCTTTCCAACAGAGTGATTAGGAAGATCTTCAAGTAATTTTTCAACCTAAAATGACATTTTAATAAATAATCAATATATTTATTAGCTTTTATTTAAATTTTCCAGTTACAATGAGCTATTAAAAGAAGTTTCTTTTCCTAAATAAACACTAAAACACGTGAAAAGAGCAATTTGTTTGCAAATAGCTCAATAAAAAGTAAACAAATGGAACTTTTCCAGGGAAATCAAATCAGTTTTCTGTTTATTGAAAACACTGAAAAATATTGAAAATTCAACAAATATGTTGTTTTACACTTAACAGACATGCTAATAACAAAAAGTAATACATGTATCTTTACTATTAGCTTTCAGGTAAAATAAACCTTGTAACAAATGGCTCCTGTATAAACAAGCTCACCTTGTTTTGTATTTGAGAGAAATACTCCACTGCTTCCTGTCCTCTGGGCTCTGGTAGCTTCAGCACTCCGCAGATCGCTGACAGCTCTTGACAAACCGGACCCCCTTCTTTGTGTTTATCGGAGGTGTGTCTGCTCTTCACAATCTGAGCCGCCTGAAGCTCGGAGCACAGAAACACTAAGAAAAGAGACATGTTTTAATCTGTAAACCTTTTACCAGTCCACACAGTTTGCAGCACAGTGACTGGATGAAAGAGACTGAAAAACGTACAGACAAACTTGAGATGGTCTTTTGTGTTTGCAGTGCTGCCATGAAGAATCCCTGAAATAGCTTCTTCATAAGGGCAGTACAGTTCCTTCAGCAAACCGCTCATGTCCACCTGGAGGCTGCTGATGTCATCTAAAAGAAAGATGAAAGTGGGTGGACGGATGGATGGACAGCAAAAGTGGTCTTTAAGCAAATATTTGAAATATAGATACAGGACAGAAATGGGTTACAACCAATCGTATTTTTATAACTTTTTACTCATACCTTATTATCGTATCAGTTTTTATTTGGTGCGTAATTAAATTAAATAAAGTTGTGAATTATCTTAGCTCACCTGGTCCTGAGGTGATGCTCTCCTCCAGGTCACACAGCGGCTTCAGTCTGGATGCTAACCACTTGCACAGCTCCACATACTCCGCGGAAGAGAGACCTCCCTCTGCGGCTTTCAGCAGCGCTTTGTCCCCTAACATRGGCCCGTCATAACTGCGGACCGTCCCACAAAGGTACGGACAAAAATACATGCATATGTTAGATCCAGAGGCTGTGTTTATTAAGCCTCGCTGGTTTCTGTCAACAGACAGTTCCTAGCACGCGATGCTAACCCAAATCAGACAACGCATGCTGCTGAAAAAAGATTTCACTTACCCGAGCTGCTCTAAAGAGTCCAAAATGTCAGACTCCATGGTGAAATTCTGTTGTTGTTTTAAATCTAATAACACAYGGTAGCACTAAAGAAAAAAAATGTGTCAACATGAACGATATTAGAACCCATTCATTTCCACAAGCGTACATCTATAAATGAGCGTACATCGGGCGTTTCCGGTTAGGTACTTCAATCGGAGGAAAACGCTGTCGACAATATATAGTTCCGCAATTCCAAAAGTTTGTGCTAATGCAATAATGCTTTATTA